TAAAATTTCATAATTTTTATCTCAAGTTTTAAAAGAAATAAAATCTTTGAGCTAGACAGCTATGCCTCCCAACATCCATTTCTCTTTGTCCTTGCCTAAACTTAATGTGCATTATTTACTTTCACATTGTATAAACTAAACTACCTGTGCTTCTATATGTAAACAGTACAAACACACTGCATATATTCTTTTTTTACATTCAATGCTAGGTTTTCGAGATTTATCCCTGCTGATACATGTAGTTCCAGTTTCTTCATTTGAACTACTTTTTACTTCCCCAGTCACTTATATATATTTAGGTTGTTTCCAAAATTTTTGGCTGTGACAAAACAAACAGCCTACAAGGAACATCCTTGTGCTCTTTCAATCCTGTGCACATTTGTTAGAATGTTAAAAACTCTAGTTTCTCTCTCTAGTACTTTAGCCTTTGTTCCTAAAAGACCCAGACCATGGGGTATGGGCCTTATCCAATTTATGACGCTGTCCAAAGTTTCACAACTGACTGAATTTACATTTGCACTGGCAATGTGCAAACTTCCCATTTATCCACAGGACGACCAGTAATTGGAATTACCAGACTGTTTTGTTTGTACTAAACTATTGAGTATGACATGCTATCCCCTCTTCCTTCAGTTGGCAGTTGGCACTCCCTTGATTACTAGTGAGACTGAGTGCATCTTCATGGTCCTGGAAAATTTGGTGTTCACCTTATGGCAGTGACTTCTTTATAAACTTTTTTTCCATTTTTCTCAAGTGTGTGGCAGGGGAGGTGTACATGAATTCTGAATTTTGTTTCAATCTGTTTTTTTTCCACCTAAGTTAGTATGGATACAATATTGTTTTGATTAAGAAAGATTTAGGTTAACTTTTTTTTTGCCTCATATTAATACAGCCTCTGGTTTCATTTCTTATTTGCCTGTTATGTCTTATTTCGATGACTTTATATTCAGTGTTTGTGTGTCTTTTGGAACAAATCATTTTAATGTATTTGTATTTGTTATAAGTGCTAATCAGTTTGAAGTGGGTTTTTTTGTATTACCTTATAGTTTTTTCTTTTTACTTTGGTTTTTAAAAAGTTTTCTTGTTTTCTACCTTTTTAAATTTTGCCTTATTTTCCTTACTCATTTTTTAATCCTTATGTTGTTCTAGAAATTATAAGTTGGTCTGTTATTTCAGGAGCTGCCCTAAAGTTTTTTACGTGCATTCTTGACTTAAATAAAACTTGATCAGAATCAGAAACTGATAACACAAAAAAATACAATGACCTTAAAATGCTTTAACTGTGATTGTTCTCCAATCATATGATTTTATCCTAGTATTTTAATTTCACATTTTTCTCACCCTCTCCAAAATTAGTCATTATATTATTGTTTTATAATTAGTGCATATTTTATTTACTTATTTAACTATTTGTTTACCTAAGTTTCTTATATTCCAGTGGTTTCTTCTGATTTGTTTCTTTTTCCTGAATTGTCATTTTCCGGTAATTTCAACACTGAGTTATAAAAAGTATACTCTCTCAGTCTTTGTTATGTGGACCATGTCTGTTTCACTCTCACATTTACAGAGAAGATAACCTATATCATGTTTCCAATTACTTTCTTTCAATATGAAGCATATTTCTAAAATTTCTTCAGGTTTCTATTGCTCCAGGGAGAAAACCTCCTGTCAGCCTCATTTTTATTCCCCTACTTGGTGTCCCTTTTTTATTGTTGTTAAACTTTCATTACTACTTTTCCGTGTTCTGTATTTTCACTATGGTATGTCTGGGGGTAGGTTTGTTTATATTTTCCTGTTTGAAACTCAGTGTAGTTCCTTAATTAGATGATTCTTCCAATCTGAAAAAAAACCTATTCTTTGTCTTTGAATATTGCTTCTCTCCTTTCTGGAACCGTTTTTAAAAATATGTGGTACTTTGTCACGATGTGGCGAGGACTCTCACAGCCTCACTGCTCCCCACCTCACCAGCCTCATTTCTCAAATGCCCTTCAGCCATGAGTCTACTTAAATGGCTCACATTAGGGCTCTCTTCTATTAAAAAAGCCTTTTTTCAGGCTCTTTCCTGAGTGGACTTGTAGAATTACTCTACTCCTCTTCTACCAGTTAACTGTAACTTCAGGAATGCTTTGCCCACTGTTCTGATGGCAACTGTTCTCCTCTTAGAACATCTTGAGTTTCTTGTTCAGAGCTCCTGGAGGTAGTTGTGCTTTTATATTGGTTTAAGTATCAAATTAATGTCAGACTTTTTCCACTAGATCCCCTGCTCTGTGAAGGCAATATTTCATTTTTTGTTTTTTATTCTGTTGGCATTTTATAGGCACTCGGGCAAAGGCAATGTAGAGACTGGCACCAGTGAGGAACTGTGGCACCATCAGGGACCCAGATAGTAACTATTCATCCCTGAACATCAGTCTCACTTCCCTCGGAGCAGACCAGCTTTTTCTCCTCGCTGCAGATATTCCATATCATAAAAGGCTGAGGGTCAAGAGCCTCCTCAGGTTAAATAGTACACATTACCCATTAGCTAAGATTGTCCCCCTTTTGCTCACAGTCTTTAGGTGTCCTCTGACTACAATTTCTGTGGTATCTGGCTGAGAGCTGGAGAATCTGCTTCCAACTCTGGATCATTTATGGATAAATCCTTGTTTCCCCATTTGATTCTAGAACAACTGACTTTTTAAGGTAATAACACCTTCAAAAATCAAATAAGAAATAAAATGTATTGCTCACACTTGAACCAAATAAATAACCCCCAGTGCACTTATTTCACCAATATTTGCTGAGCTCCTGTTGAGTGCTTTTCACTCCATTAGGCTTTTAGGATACAATAACAAATATAAAGAAGGTCCCTGCTTTCAATGAGATTAGAGTCTAGAAAGGCAACATTATTCCAGTGCTCATGCTACTACTAAACAGACATTCAAGCAACATGTGAATGCTTTATAAAAGAAATAAGGTTTCTTCTGAGTATTTAACAAATTAACTTGACCTTTAAAGGAATTTGCAGTAAATTGGGGAAGGCTTAATTCGTGAGTGACTCCTGAGCTAAGATTTTAAAGATGAGTAGAAGTTAATCAGACAAAGAGGAGAGGTCAGAGCATTTCAAGAAGAAACATCAGTATGTGCAAATGTCCTGTGGCAGGAAGCAGACTGGCAATGATGAGGGGCTAAAAGAAGACTAGCCGGGTTTGAGAACAGAAGGGAAAAGGGAACTTACTAGAGCTGAGGATGGAGAGTTATACAGGAGTGGGAGAGAAGTGTGCTATTTTGTGCTGGCTAAAAATAGCCAATTATTATATTTTCAGAAATTTTGTGAGCCAGCTATTAAATAACCATTATTAAAAAACAAAAGTATACAAACTTAAGTTTTAAAATGATGTTAGAAATAAAGTTGTCCTAATTATTCCTAGTCACTCAGTTATTTTACTACATTTTGCTATTTGTGCTCCTGAGTTTATTTATGTCTACCCTACTGGTATGATGGAAACACTTCATAATATGTGCTGCTCTGCTCTTCTCCCCAAACTCACAGTCACTGATTTTACTTAAACTCACTGGACATTGACCATGGTTGGAGTTTACGCCATGAAAATTGGCAAAACTTTCAAATCAGAACCCCCTTACCCACCCGAGACTCAGTTATTAAGCACATACTGCCCTTTTCTGAATGAGACTGTACAGAGCCTTGGAGACCATGGTAAGAATCAATCTTTACTGCAGGAGAAATGAATGGGCACTGAAAGGTTTTAAGCAGGGAGTTGACAAGAGCAATTTCTACTTCAACAAGATAAGTAAGACTAAAGAAAACGAGCTGACTCTTTGTGGCCCCTATTGTAAATAATGGTGGCTCAGACTAGGATCAAAGCAGTGAAAATGGAGAGAAATGAATGGATTTAAGACATATTTAGGAGGTAAAATAGAAGGCTGAGCTGTGGTGATATTGTAATGAACCAGTCACTTAAGACCCTCATGAAGAAATAAAATACATCCTTCCCAATTTCTGAATGCTTAGGATGTTTTCATTTTGATCCCAGTCCTTTGACACCATGTGTCCAAGAATCAACTTTGCATTTGAACAAACAGACCCGAGTAAAAGGCAAAAATCTACCCACAGGGGAATATATGAAATGAAGGAATTAACTCTGTACAAAAATACGTTATCTTTAACTTAATAAAAGAAATCCACACTTCTCCATCTTCATGTATGCATAATGGAGCATGGATGGTAGCCATGAGACGATCTCCCAGATCTCTCTGACTGCAGGGAGCATATATGTCTGAGGTCCAGCTGCTTGAGCCAAGGCCTTGCTGCCCACAAGTGGACTCCAGACAATGACTGAATGGGACAGAGACACTAAAGTAAGCCTGTTATGGGCGATGCCAGATTCCTCTGATGGGTGGCTTTAACTCTATGACTCCCTAACGTCCTTTCCAAACTTTCCTCAGAACTATATTACCTAAGATGCTTGCATCCAATTTCCTTCGTCCACAACCACTGCGTCACTCGGCGTTAGACCTTCCTCAAGGTCTGATGGCCCTGTGAGCCCTACTTGATTCCCTGCTTCTGCCTCGTGTCTGCGGCAGTTTTTTGAGGGGTTGTGACTTGTGATAGAAGATATCTGTAGTGCAAGTGTCTGTGTCTAAGAGGACTTTCTGCTCCCTTCCACAAGGTCAGACAGCTTTTGCTTCTACCCTTTCTCAGAAGTAGATCATTGTGTCTTAGAGGCTAGACAATGTCTTGCCATTTCCCTAGTGCTTAAGTCTACTTTTTGTAAGAGAGAACGGTCTGGGGAGCGGACGCAGTTTTGTGCCTGTGTGCCCAGAAGGGAAGTTTTCCCGTCTCTGCTGCCCCCCCCCCTTGAGAATCCCATGGAAAAGAGGCCATGACTGAGTACAGACTACACCATGCCTGGGCTCCTCGGGATTCTAAATGTTGTGATAGGTCATGCTCCGTCTTAACTGCTCGTTGAAGTTTCAGCTGTTTTCCTTACTTCCTGCAGGAAGGCTGCCTCTCTTGCCTGTGATTTGCCAAAGCTGAAACAGTTGATGTGTCCTGGCCCATCCTCAGAGGGCCCGACACGCTGTTCCACTCAGTTCTCCTGGTTGCCATGTGATCTCAGATCTCTGATGAGTCCAAGAAAAGTTACAACTTTTGCAGGTCATCTGGCTTTTTCTCATTTTTCCTTAGCATGAGATTAATGTTCTATTTCTTTCTACATGCTAAGAGAGACAAAGTTCCCTCCTCTTGTTTTAAAAAATCAGTTATCTTAAATCAGGTCTGTTCTGTTTCAAAATCTGCACCAGAATTTTATGTGTGGTGGGTATTAGAGAGTCAGGAATAGAATGTATACATAAATTGTATGTTATACTCCAGACATGGGAAAGCTCTATGTTGTCAAACACTATTACGGTACTCATTCTGTAAATTTATTGAATGTAGACCTCAAGAAGTAGCGGAAGTACCCAATTCGATGTTAGTCAAGGCTCCCATTGCAGAGGATAAGAAGATCTGTTGCAAGAAGAATTGTTTCTAGTTTATTTTGCTTTGGATCATGATTCAATACAGTTACCTTGTCCTTCCCACCAGGTGGTTGACCAGATTGACACCCTGACCTCTGATCTGCAGCTGGAAGATGAGATGACGGACAGCTCCAAAACGGACACCCTGAATAGTAGCTCAAGTGGCACGACGGCCTCCAGCCTAGAGAAGATCAAAGTGCAGGCCAGCGCCCCTCTCAGTAGGCCCCCAGCTCCCCCGTCTGCTATCCTCACCGTCCTGAAGAAGCCAAACCCTCCGCCGCCGCCTCCACGGCTGACACCTGTGAAGTGCGAAGCCCCCCGAAGGGTGGTGCCCGCTGTCAATCCTGCAAAGACCAATGAAACCGTTCTGCGAAACGGAGGCTTGCCAGGGGTGCCAAACAAAATCCCAAACGGCGACATCTGCTGCGCACCCAACAGTAACCCGGACAAGGCTCGGGCGCCGCCACTGATGCACAGACCTGAAAAAGACAGGTGTCCCCAGGCGGGGCCTCGGGAGCGTGTTCGGTTCAATGAAAAAGTGCAGTACCATGGCTATTGTCCGGACTGTGACGCCCGGTATAACGTAAAGAACAGCGAGGTGCATTTACACAGCCAGCCTGTCCACCCCCCAGGAAAGCTGCCTCCCCAGGGCCCTCCCCTCCCTCCTCCACCCCATCTCCCTCCTTTCCCACTGGAAAATGGGGGGCTGGGAATAAGCCACAGTAACAGCTTCCCCCCTCTCAGACCTGCAACTGTGCCTCCTTCCATTGCACCAAAACCACAGAAGACCATCTTGAGGAAATCAACTACCACAACAGTGTGATGTATGCCATTTAAAACACTTTTTGGTTTTTTTTTTAATTTCTATATTATAAACATAAAATAATAAGTAATGAGCACTTTCTACTCAAGCAATAAAAAGCCCAAATATATTATTCCTGCGTTCAGCAAAGTGGCATAAAAATCACTTGGTAAGTATGCAGTATGTTGTTTATATCCTGGGTATGCATTTTTTCAACCGTTGCATTATCCAAACCACAAAACAATGATAAGGTTGCCTCTCTTGTTCTTTCAATGGACCTGTGGCAAACACTGGCCTGTCCATTTCAAATAGTTTGGGTTGCAATAAGAGATGGGATTAGACTCAGTTTATTCATGCCTAACTCACATGTGCACTATTAACATGTCATACATACTCTTGGACCTAATGCTTTTTAATAAGAAATTGTAATACTGAAGAATTATTTTATTATTTTTTCTAAAGATATTTGCCACTACTCTGGCATTATTAGACACTCTTGAGGACAATACCAAAACATTTATTTTCTATACCATGCAATTTGATTCTCTGTTCGGCTATATATGTAATGAGGGACTCGGTGGAAATATCATGTCAATAAACAATAGTAAACAATGGCAAAATCAAGTGTTCATCAGAATTAAAACAAAGCAGAGCTTCACTTAATCTCATGTTTACATTCTTCAAAACGGGCAGCAATTCTGACATTGGGGAAGATTATAGGGAGTATATGTCAGAATTTTCTAAATTAAGTATCACAAGCAGGTCATCGGTAGAACTTTACATATTTTCATGTTACACATTTTGGTACCTCAAAGACCTTGTATTGAATTCCTCCTCCATTGCCAATCCCTTCAGACCTCATTACACTCAGCATTCCTCCAGGACACCACACAGTGAAGCAGTAGGATGTGTGCCTCCTGCCTCAGCAAGCTCTCTGCCTCCCTGAGGGAACCCCTATTTATAGGATAATCATAGGGGGAAATGAAGACACTTCTGCAGCAAGGTGTTTTTAGCATTAGACTTAAGCTGTTTCTCCTCGGAGTTGACATATGCCAGGGCTCTTTGTTATTCTGTAAAAGGAAGAGAAGAAATTCCTTCTTTCAATCAAGGTTTTTCTCTTCTAATTTGCTAATTGAGGTCACTTCCCCACCCATGGACCAAGTTCACTTCCCAACTATAATGATTTGTAATGATCAAATGTTTTGCCCTAGAACTAGAAATATGTTTATCTCCTCTGGAATCATGATGACAGGTGCATGCCTAAACTAAATTTGTCCATCAAGTGGCAAGAGTAGCAGGACTCATCTTTAGTAGAAGTTAATTTATTGTGCAACAATAAAGAATATTGCAACCTTTTTGACTATTTGGCATTTGATCTGAAACTTTAGTTTTTGTTGCTATAGGAAGGTAGTCTTCAGTCAGATTTCTTTATTACCTTTTTCAAGCTGTATCTCAGTAATTTGGAGTAATGTTTTTAAACAACTCCTTATTAAAAAATAGAAATATATTTGGGCAGAATAACAGAGCAAATAGGCTTTATTTTTTAAAGGAACAATCAAATGAGTAAAAAAAGAAAAAGCAGGGTGCCACGTTAAAATTTACTCAGCATGATTCCTCTTGTGTATATTTTGGCCATGAAGATAATGCAAGCAGAAAAAATCCAAATTTTCAGAAAGTTACAGAATGTAAGACCAATAATCAAGGAGGACCATAATCTAAAATTTATTAATTGTATGCTCAGTATGCTTAATACATCCGAGCCAGGCAAACAAATAGTTGACATATTGAATACCAAAATAATATATTCTTAACTTTTTAATGTATCCATTTATGGTTGGTATAAACAGACCCAGGGTTTCATCATCTTTTTATTTTTATTTATTTAATTTTTTTTTGAGAGTCAGGGCAAAGGCTTTTATTGAGAGATACAGTGAAAGGTCAGAGTTCCTGGCTCAGGGCAGGAAGGGACAAGAGAGCCCTCATCATCTTTTTATATTTAAGTAATGACTTCCTTTCAAATGTCCATCCAGTGTTAGACCTTTAGGTCTTATAAGTCTTACAAGACATACAGTTTTCTCCCTTCAGCCCATCTTCCTTCTAAAGCCAGTTACTGTGACCTAACACTTACCTTTTAGCTTGAGATGTAATCCCTGTTGATGTCTGGGAACCAATCTAGATCTCAAGGTAGAGCTTTCTAGCAATCACAGATCATCCACAGAAGAAATAATTTACTTGCAATAAATCAAGTTGAGTAAGTTGAATAATTCAAGCTGGTTGAATAAGGACATTGAGCCAGATGCCTAAACAAAACTCATGAGGTTCAAATCACCTCTCTTCCTCAAAGTATAAACAAAGCCACCCCATGAAAGATCATCTTTTAGAGTCTGATTAGTGATGTGTGCCAGAACTAGAACTCATTTTCAACACACTTATAAGTAACTTCTGTCCTAGAAAGCTGTATTAAATCTCCACCTTAAAAAAGTTGTAGTTATTAACCTTCTTCTTTCATTACCATTTATTTATTATATCATCAACACCAAATGGGAGATTACAGCAATGTTGGGACTTTCTTTTGAGTATATTTGCCCCATATGTTATTTTTTTCCCATTAATGTATGAAATATATTGGGCCAATAAGATTTTTTTTCCCAACTGATAATTTTGCAACATTCACTGGAGCTTAGTTATGCCTTTAAATATATATTAATTTGTAAAACATGGAAAGCAATTAACAGAGAGCCTCAATATTTGCCTGGAAACTTGTAATTAAAATGTCACTGCAGTTTTTGTAATCAGCTGCATTGCTTTCAAAATTTAAATTCAGAAGTGCAAGCTCCGCATGTCACCATTGAATTATCATAAAACATGGTACACAGTTCCTCTTCTTGAAGATCCTGAAGCGGAAATGCTTTCCTCAAATCCTTAAGGGCGGTTTCTTTTCTTTCACAGTATGCATTTGAGCACTATTATCCCCATGTAGAGTAGTGTGCCACAGAGCTGGCCTCCTTACTGCCTTGAAGGTGATGTTCCTACACAATGCAAAATGGTAATACTGTGAATGACAACATCCATTCATACTGAATGGCAGAATATATATTTTTAAAGAGTATCCATTAATTGGAATAGGAAAGCTTTATCTTGTCAGTTTAAAGAATTGTCCCATTCTTGTGATGGGAGGTTATTGTATCCCTCCTGATGAAAGGGAAAAAGAAAAGAAAAATGACCAAAGTTCTCTGCCACCTCTCAGTACAGCAGTTGTAAAAGGAAAGAAAAAAACATATTTTAGGTCATACTTAAGCTAAATATAAAATCTGCTTAAAAATACAGTGCATGCAAAAAAAGGGAAATTTTCCACTTCCAATTTGATATTATATTCATACCTCCCCTCATTAGTTTAATAATATTCTAGAAAAAAAAGTCTGCTTTTATCTGAAGTGGTTTAATTAACCTAAAAAATCATGGTTTGAATTATGCCTGCCTCTAATTATTTAATGAATAAAGGACTAAGGCGCTGTATTATATGGCTTCTTCTGGTGAGATAAATAGTTGCTTTTAGCATGTCCAAGAGGAGCAGCTACACGCAGCCTCTGAAACTGTGCAAGACCTCTTCTCTGCAGATTCTGATTATAGCTCTTTTTGGATGCTCCGTGAAGAAGAGCCTGAGTAGTTCTACATGTAATTGCACTGGGAATGGTGTAATCAAATTTTGAATCACTGCCTTGACTCGGTTTTTTCCCCACTGGAATGTATGTGGTAATGCAACGTCAACTCTTGTAATTGTCCTGATGCCATTTCTTTCTCTGGGTTCTGTTGTAGCGGATTTTGCTGGGATGTACACTCTAATTTGTAGCAAAGGATTGCACTGTAATGTGCTCTGGTACATACTGATGATTCCTAAGTGAGGAAGTAATTTATGAGCAATAAGGTTTCCTAAAAAACGGTATCACATAATTAGGTAAAGTGCACAGAATCAGATGATTACTAGACACGCTCACAAAATCACATGAAGTTCTCTGGGTCAATTTGTAACTGTGATACTGTATTTATTTCAGACTAAACATTTTGGAGTTGCAGAATCGTTCAAGTTGCCTGATTCTGAAATGACAGATGTGATGCTAGCATTAGGGCACGCAGTGTGTTGAACATAACACTGCAGTTGGCCACATCTGGCAGAGCAGCAATTATGTAGGGCATCATTTCATCTGAAGCATTTGGATTTATCATTGCGGTCTTTTTGGAAAAAAAATTAAAGTGGAGCATAAGGAAGCTCTGCAAATAACCCTTTCTGTAAAAGGTAGTTAAAACAACATGTGGTATAGAATTGTGTGAGGACCATGGGAAAATAAGGAGGAAATATTGCTTAGAATTTTATGACTTCAAGACAGTTCAAAGATAGGTAAGCTAACGCTACCAACTGTCTTCTGAAAGTTTACATACATGAGACTTTCTTCAAGTCTCTTACGAATGTCTAAAATTGTTATCCTGATTTACAAGTGAAGAAATCTAGGGCCTCAGTTTCAGTATCCTGCCCAAATTACCCTCTTAATAAGTGACCAGCCTGGCAGTTTAGTGTCAGCGGGACCCCCCCCATAATTTTTCCTCCACAACATCATGATTTGATTATGTTCTTCATAGCCCTTAACTTTGCAAATCTTTCCTTTATTCTGAGCAGTTATTTTGACGCTTGAAAGGGGTTACCTAATGTTGTTTTGACATTCTTAATATGTTTGATCTTTGCATAATATGAAAGGGATTTCAGGCAATTTAGCTACCGTCTAAAGTGAATGAGCTGCTGAATAATTCAAGCCTCATTTTCTCGTGTATTATACCAGTGGCTTCACTTTTCAGGGTTTTTTCTCTAAGTTCTAAAGCTGTCTATTATTTTCATTTCTTTGCCTAAGAAGTTCTGATTTCATGGTGTTAATTTCATTTGACCCTGAATGTGTCACTTCCATTACTGGTATTTCATTTGTGAATTTCATCTATTTAACATTGACCCCAGAGCTAAAAATAAAGCTGGTAAAGACACAGCGTATTAGAACTGTCCCTAATAAATAGCTTTCTCAACCTTTTGCTATTAGATGGCAGATATGATTTTCTGCTATTTGATAATGTGATTGTCAATTCTCCCAATCACCAAAGGGAATTGCAGACCTAAATAAAATAGTGTGTGCCCTCCAGTGGATTAGTGTTGATGTTGACAACATATATGATATCCAGCCCTTACCAAGGGCTTCCTTTATGCCAAATACTCCTCTACATGTTTTGCATGTATTATTTCCCCTTATCATATCATTTTCCATCATTAACAACACAGTGTCTTAGACACTGTTATTGTCTATATTTTACAAATGGGGAAACTCTGGCATCGGAGACCTGCTGCCCAGAGTCGTAGCGCCAGGAAGTGGTAGAGCCAGAACTGCAGGGCAGACAGGCAGCCTCCATGGCCCGATGCTTCACTGCCTTCCGAGCTGCCTGCAGCGCGGCCCCTGTGCTGCACACAGGCGATCTCTGCTACTAAGGGCCATCAGCTCACAGGCACTTGCCTGAGGAAGTTGTTGGAAGATGGACGATAAGAGCAAACCAAGTTTTTTTCTGTTTAGACCGTGCTGAGGTAGCA